AGTGTTTTGTATAATTTTAGAGCCTGGTTTAATAAATATAGTTCTGGTCTTCATTGGAGTCTTTGTCCCTCTTTGGGTGGCACTTGAATAGTGCAGAGGGATTCCCTTGTAGCTTTTGGTGTTATAAAGAGTTTGTTATTTAGAAATAAGCCCTTGGACCGCTGCCTTGAAAGAGGTCTTCCCTGAGAGATGACAGTGGGAAAGAGAGCTTTCAGAAATGGATTAAAAAACGTCACACTGATAGGCTAACAACAGCAATCTATTCATCTGTCCAAAGCCTTTATGGAGGCCTAGTTTATTGTGGCCTGCTGGGCTGAACAGTGGAGTCTGCTTTATCTTGTTTGCAGTGCAGGAAGAGTGAAGTTTGCCGTTTCATTCTCTGTGTGCTGATTAAAGTACTGAAAGCTGTTGCGAGGGAAAGGGTGCACATGATCTAGAGATTACAGGAGTGCTCTGTTTAACATTGGAGCCTTTGGCAATTGCCCTTTCAGCCTAGGGCCAGCAGTTCTTTTTTTTTCACTCCCGCACAGCATTCACAAATGTTTCCCAGGCTCAAAGGACGATGTGTTACTGTCCAATGATGAGATTCGCTCATGCTTTTGTCCGATATTGATAAAATCCAGATTTCCGGAATCTTTTGAGTTCATCGCCTCTGCAGATGGACGGTATATAAGCGCTCCAAAGATTTGCATGCATCCAGTGGCACAACTCTGTTCAGTTGAAAAACTCTGTTCTTTTAATTGATTGTCTTTAACCAGTAGTTCCTGTTCCAATTATTGACTTTTTTTTGTCTGCCAAATAATTTGAAATTCATTCAATGCAATATATATAGAGATTTGAGCTCTGAACATTACACACCAAAATCCTCGCACCTTGGACTTGTCAGCAGAAGTGTAGGCGCTGTAGCAAACAGGCAGCTTATATAATTTATATAGCTCAACTATCCTTTTTTCTTGGATGGAAGACATTCAATGTATGCGGCATTAATTTATGGAACTCTGAAAGGAGCTAACAGTTGGCAGATGCATTCATTATTACAGTTTATTTTATATTGTGTGTCTAACATTTGAAACCACTTCAAATTGATATGTTCCTGCCTCGTGGATGAAATTCTAATGAAAGCATTTTTTTTGTTAATGATTTAACAGATTTCTTCACATACTTATGACCAAGGTTCTTTGTAAAGGCTTAAGCTCATTAAATGCGTTTGAGAAATCGCACAAACACATGGACAGTGTTTTATTGTATATGATATTTCAGTTCGAAACATAAAAAGGTTGCAGGAAAAAAAACACATCTTTGTTCAGAATAAATCCATTAGGAATCTTTAAACCTTTTACAATAAATCCATTAGGAATACTTAAGCCTTTTAGCAAGGCCTGAGGATGAACTCAAGAGACAGAGCTGCAAGGAAGGTTTAGTGAAACAGAACCCAACTGTCTTCTCTTCAGGAGCATTTTTTTTTGTCCTTGATGTTTCTCTGACCGCTTCACTGGGGAAGAACGAATTGCAGATTCTGTCTTTTAACGATGCAGGGGCCTTAATGAAACAAACTAAGGTTGTTGTAGCTCATTGGCTAATGTATATGAGCGAACAGCAGAAACCACCTGTTCATCTGGCGCTAATTACTACAATTTGACTCGTCTTATTTGTGGAGGCCTTGGAAGGCTCTTTGTTAAATGGTAGAGAATGCATTTGAATAACAGTTCCTGTAGAAACCTCAATCTTACATCTCTGATTATTAGATGCATTCAGTCTGATGTATTTTCTGGTTTTCCTAATTATGTTATTCACAATCAATAAATTTGTTTTTTTGTTTCCAACCCAGCTTTGGTAAAGGCTGTTTTACAAAGAGGTCAATCTCTCCACTCATTTCCCTTTATAAACTCTCTAAATGTAGAAGAAGCCTAAAGGTTTCTATCGTCTTTGTTCTAATTTGAGAAAGGATTGTAGTTTTCATAGGCATTAAACGCATCTGGTATCTTGTGTTGTAGTCTGTGGATGCTTAACCAGTGAACATCTAGTATTTTAGTTGTGTTCAGGATGTTGTGCAAGCAGATCCGTTCACATCTGTTGTCATTCCTGCTTTTGAAGATCCCTGTTTGTTTTGTATGTAGCAGTTAAAATAAACTGATCTGTGTACCGTTATGCACACTTTTAAACCGAAGCCAGCACAAACTGTAATAAAGCTTTGTCAGGCCTGATAGAACTGCAGTTGTTACTTCAGGTTGTGTTTATTTCGGAGTTAGTTCCTTCATAAATTTTGCCTTAGCCGGTGGATCGTTACTAGAGTGAACCACTCCTTCCAAACATGGAACTCTCTAAAACTAAGCACTCAGTCGTTATCAGGTTCACGGTCAGTGAAATGAAAGATAAAAGCCTACCAATACCTGTCAGCAAATGGAGTGTGTGATGGACTCTCCATATACTCAACAGTGGCAAAGCTAAGTTCAAGTGCATCTTGAGCACAACACAAGGTTCAGGTGCCCCACTGGCGGGCTAAGTCAAGAGATTGAGTGGTGCTTTGTTGTCGGGTTATATGAGGTAGCTGCAGAGGTTGGCAGTACCATGGAGCCATGATTCTTTCTGAAGTCTTCCACATTGGACATACCCAACTGGACCGTAATTAATGGACAACATCAACCATTTTGAAAAGCCCTCCTGGTGAAAAGGCAGTATATAGCATAGATAGAGCTGCAAGGTAGTGTTTTCCTAACTTAAAAAAATGAGGCAAACCATTGAGCAGAAGGCTTGCAACTGCCTCATGACAGTGCGCTTATGCACAATCCTGGTGTTTGCACAAGATGCTATTCATGAATTACTTTGAGCAACCGAATTGCCAAGTCGTTAGCTGAGTCTGGCCTTCAGGGATTGCAGTTTGCTTTATTCAAAAATGAATGCGATTCTTTTGTTTTCCAGCATTTGTGGATGATGGAAGCTTGCAGAGGTCCATAATGTTAGAGGGGCAACATGAAGAGCTGTTTTCTTTGCAGGCATAGATAATTTGAAGGGCATGTAGGCCACGCACATTAAATGAGAAGGGCATCTGTAGCTAAATATAATGCCGGGGCCTTCTGATGAGAAATAAATTGTCTTCTTTTTGCAAAGAAGAAAGATTAATGGAAATCGTAACCTTGGAAGGAATGCCCTAGAAGTCTTCTTTTCACTCATGGCAATAGGTACACATGACAAGGACATTTGTTTCATAGACGTTGTGTTGATCCTTTCATGTTAAGTATATTTTATATTAGAAGAAGATAACAGCTGTTAATTATGGCATCAATTCTCATTAAATAAAAATTGTGGACAATTTTGTGGCCACATATTTGACAGAAGGAGGATGTACGTTTTAACTATCATATTAGAGCTCTTTGAACAAGAAACAACAGTAATGGGCATATGAAGAGTATACGATACGGTGTATTTAGATTTTCAAAAGGCTTTTGAATAAGTTCACCTTGAAAGATTCATTCTCAGTTAACGGGGAGTATGCATTGAAAATGTTTGGATTGTGAACTGAATAATACACTGAAAGTGTAAAGAAAAAATAAGGAGTCAGTGCTCAGATAGCAGTGATGTAATTGGGAGTACCACAGGGATCTGTACTTGGATCACTGCTTTTCTTAATTCTTATCAACCTAGATTCTGTTATAGTTCATCAACAAAATATTTACAGATTATACCGAATAATAGATGGATTAGCAAAAGCTGTAGAAGCAGAAAACTGAAATTTAAATAGATTTAGATAATATTCTAAATTGGTCAAACTTCTGGCAGATGAGGTTTAATTTAGATAAATGCAGAGTATTACATATGCAGGTGGCAAAATTCATACAAAATATGGGGCACTGAGCTTGAAGCTTCTTAAGAACTATATTGTTGATACATTTACATATATTACACAGTGTGGGGAAGAAATTAAAAAGGCAGCTAAGATGTTAGGACGTGTAGTTAAAAAAGTGTGAGCAATGTTTTCAGTTAAACCAGTATTTCTAGTGATGAGTGCTGGCATTGTGATTTATGTGTGTGTCCTGCTAAGCAAAATACGCTCAGGATAAGCTTAGGCTGTGATATAACCCTTCTTAGAGTTTTACTAGTTCTAAAATTTGCTACATTTTCCTCCTTTTTTTTAAGTAGAGGGTAGAGGAGTTTACTGCCAAACGAACATGTACATTGAAATTGTTATTCACACTGTACTCTTTGGACATACACAGTACAGCAGACCACACAGTACAAACGACAACCCCACACAATGTAAGCAGTAAATGACAAAATAATGAATCATCATAATGTGGAGAAAAAATAAATATGTAGAAGTGAAACAAATATGGCAGACCATGCAAAACGTGCACAATTCAGACGTGCCTTGAGTCTGAGGCATTGCAGTTAGCTGTTGAGGATGTGTGTACTGCAGTAGGGTAGAAGCTGTTCTGAAGCCCAGTGGTCTGTGCTTTAATAGTGCAGTACCGCTTGCCAGAGTGCAGGGGGGGGGGCAGTCTGTGGCCGAGATGGTTGGGATCCTGAATGATGGATTGGGCTTTATTGTGACAGTGGATGGTGTGAATCTCACCGATGGATGGTAAATCACATCCTATAATCCACTGTGCCGTTGCCACAACCCTTTGTAGTGGATGTTGTTAAGTAATTCTAATCTAGTAGTGCGAGTACTAAAAAATAAAGTGATTTTAAACGAAGGTAAGTACAGATTTCTGGAATAACTTGAATTTCTGGATACAAGTCATGAATTCATCCTGTTCTTGCCTTTTTATTGACGCTCAAAGGTGAAATATTTTACTTGATTGTAAAAGCTGACAAAAAATGATTGGATGTTGGAAGCATAGTAGAAGCATAGTTTTGATTTCAGTGGAAGACTTAGGATTTCATAAGTAGATGTTGCATCTTCCTCTGTAGGCACCCCAGAGCAGCAGTAACCATGTGAATTCATTACTGCTCATTCCTGTGGTGGGTGCTAGTTTGAAATAACTGCTTTCTTTTTGCAGAAACATAAAGAGAGGGACAAACATAAACCAAAGCACAAAAAGACAATAGAACCTTCACCTGTACTTGTTCCAACTTTGACTGTAACAACAGAGAAGGTAAGGGGTGTGTTTCATGTATGCCCTGTACTTTAAAAGTGTGGTCGGGGAATTATGAAATTTGTGAATTTAGCAAAAGGTAATGTGAAGCCCTTGGCGGACGAGGAAAACACTGTGATGGCGAGGCTTGCTGGGAGAGCTGTCTCCATTAAGCGAATTTAGAACGACAAGATTCTTCCCAGAAAAATCAAGCATGAAAGCTTTGGAGTGTCTCTGAGAGCACAGTGACATTGTTTTTACACTAGGAAATCCGGGATGTCAAATTACTGCGAATAAGCAGCTTGAACGCTTTTGGAGAGGGCATCCCAGAGACGTTTGAGCTCTTAGAATTTTTAATCCTGGAAACGGATATAAGATGAGATCCATGGTTATCAATCCTAAAAAATAAATGAAACCTTAAGAGGTAAAAACAACGTAATAGCTTTGTGTCTAAAGCCTGAAAATTTGTACTTTAACATTGACAGTAAATTAAAGTAAATAGCCTATAAATTGATGTAAGGTTAGTAGCAATTGAAAGGTGGCTATTTGGCACATCTAGCTGAGTATGTTTGCAAGGAAATATCAGTAAAGTGTACTTTATACCTAGTGAGGGGAAAAAATAGGGCCTCCTTTTTGTGTAGCTGTTTTTTAGTAAGTAAACTTTTCAATAGAAGGGGATTTTGTACAACGATAATCTTTGTGAGAATGATAAGCAGTTTTCAAGCGGTGTCATTGAAACAAGTTGGTTTCAACAACAAATCTTACACCAGGCCACTGTTAAAACCCTTTTCATTTAGAAACAATTGTTCAGTAGTTAGGCTATATACACTTATCATTTATATTTGTTGCTAAACTTATCATGATGGCTGTAATTTCTTCATTAGAAAATCTCATCTTAAATTAGAAATTGTGGATAAAAAAACTCAATCTAAAAAGTCTTGTTTTTGTTTCTAAGCGCAGCAGCGTAATTAACCATTTCATTTTCCTGCGCGTGACAAACTGTGCATTTTCATAAAATACTAGGATTTGATTGTTACACTTTTGGAAGCTGAGCTAGGGGAACTGAGTAATAAAATTCAAATTCCAGAAACAAAACAATCTTCCACTTCTGAGCTCCAATTTCAAAAGAAATCCACGCTTTAGAATAGATGTGTTGGTTTGCATATCCCAGATGTTGGTGAAGGATTCAATGATTAATCCGTCTGTTCTTTTAAGTGTTTTTTTTTTTAAATCGCACATTTTCGTGCACCTTACTTGGCTTGTGAAAGCGATGGAGAAAATGTCGGTGTGCTGGAGCAGTAGTGCCCATTGTGGCGCGCCGGGGCTGTGTTGTAACACCTGGGCGGCTCTGTTCCTGCGGTCTAACTGCTGTGCTTGTCTGGCGGCCTCCCCTTCCCCCCCCGAAACCTCAGACCTACACCAGCAGCAGCGGCGGCAGCGGCGGCGGAGGCTCTGTGCCAAACTCCCTGAAGAGGCTGGACGACACCGCGGCTCGGTTCACGAACGCCAACTTCCAGGAAGTCCCGGCCCACGCCGTGGGCGGCAAAGATGGCGGTGCCGCCGCCGCCGAGGGCAAGGGGTCGGAGGGCAAAGGGAAAAGGACGGCCGGCCACAGCTCGGGCCAAAGGGGGCGGAAGGCTGCCAGCGGCAAGCCCCCCATCAGCGTGACGGTCACTGCGGCAACCTCCACCAGCCCCTTTCAGCAAGGTAAGCGCGTGTGGGGCGACCCAGCATGCACCACACATTGTGTGTGGCCACTTAGTAACACAATCAGAATGATCATTTACAGAGGCCTTTCATTTGGAAAGAACAGCATTTCATGTGCATTCTTTTGCTGCCTTGTGGCATATTTATAGACTGCTGTTATGTGTTGGTGGACCAGTAGGTGGCACTCTTCCCCCTGAACTCCATTGCCCCATTATATTTTTACATTGTATGATTGCCCCTAGCCCCAGAGACATTGTGCCACCCTTTGGATGAGCTGTTGAAGTGCTGATTTGCAGTAAAGTAATGCAGCTGGTGTAAAATACCTGCTGTGGATCCTGGTGGGTGCTGTATTTCAGATGTGAATAAAGTGGGGCCCATTCTCTGTGTAAAGTGCTTTGGAATCCTATGGGGTAAAAAGTGCTATACAAATGCAGACAATTGTTTTTGTCTGTTCTCGGTGTAGTACCATGCTACATGGTTTCTTTTTTTGGGATATTGCTTTGGGCAGTTTTAGACATGCAAATTGTTGCATCTCTATTGCATAACAGTGAAACGTTCCTGCTGCTTTGCATTTCATTTTTATTAAACGATTTTTGTACGACGCTCTGTACTCATTTTCTGGAGATGAAAATTGAGGTATCTTTACAGATGGGAGTTGGGTTGTTTAATATGAAGGGGCTGGATATATTCCAAGTGCTGTAACTCAGACTTGTGGCTAAAGATAGGTTGAACTGAGCCTCTGCTGTAATCTTACCTTCTACCCTGTTTTCAGAGAAAGGAATGCTTTGACCTGCTAACTGGGAGACAGGTTTATATATCTAGGTTTGAAGGCAAAAACATACTTGGAGAATTTTTCAACCTGCAATATCGGTATGTTTTGAGTGCTGACGAAGTTTAGGGGAGAAAGAACAAGGTATGAGTTTTTTTTTAGGTTTTTCAGCCGGTTATTGCTTATTATTGCAAAACCAGGATAGCGTTTCAACTGTAAATCAGGTTTTTCTAGAGTTTAAAAGGTGTGTCTTTCTGACTGGTTTGCATGAGCAGCTTGTATACTCCCTCAGTTCTATGAAGTCCCCCTGACTGCTACTCCTGTTTCATTACACAAAGAAATGGAGAGATACATTTGCCACTTAGAATTTTGACTAGTCAGGTATCATTTGATCTTTCTGGGCGTAGTAGTTTTGCTCTGAAGGATGTCACTGTACTTTTTTTCCAATCTGGATATATACTCCTGATGTGGATTGCTTGAAGAAAGAGGGTGTAAGTGCTGCAAAAGCATTAACAAACTGTTTTGGGGGGCTAATATTGTCTTTTTGTGATTACTTTTGTTAACTTGAGTGTAGAAGGAGCTCAGAACGATACTGAAGAATGTAGAAGGGTTGAGTGGCAAGCATTTCTCCAGCAATTAGAACAGGATGATTTGAGAAAACTGCTTGGGTAAAGGGCAGGATAATTAAAAGGAAGATGGAACCCACATAGTCTTTCAGTAACCCAGTAGTCCTCTTTGTATGAACCAAATTACTTGTTTTTTTTGTAGTGTCAGGATAGAATTCCAGAGTAAACGAGACTATTAATCCAGTAGCACAAGTCACTTTTAATTAGTGTATAGGTTAATCAAAGTAGTGTAGCAATCTCTGAAGGTATTTGGACATCCAAGGTGGTTTGTTTTGTTCAGGAACCCACTGTAAAGAAGAATGAATCACATTGTAGTTTACTAAACAATTGAGAATTTAAAAGCCACACCCAAGTGAATAACAAAGCAGGTAAGTTTTCTCATTCATATGTATACTTTCAGTTTGCATAATTGACTTGGGTTTGGATTACATGGTGATTGAAGTCAGTTGTTGAATATCGCATACCACAAAACCAATAATACAGCTGTTGCTCTTTAATGCCATCTGTTTGAAACAACTACTTTTCATTTAATATCACTTGTTGAACTCAAGGCATTATTTATGATCTTTCTGTCTTAATTATCTTTTAACACCTCGTGTTTTTGTAATTTGAGATAAGTAATGGAAATCATGTCTAAAATAAATCATGTATGCCGGTTGAGGTACCTCGTATGTTGTGACACCACTTGTACTGTAGTATGACTTATAATAACCATAATACTATAGTTTTATAAATGTGGCACTTAGTTTTGTTCAGTGCCACCATATTACAAGCATTAATTTATTATTTTTGTCGTGTCTTGAGTGCTGCATTCTTTTTAATTCTGGCATTAAATAGCAGAAGAGGAACTTGCTACTATTTTTTACAATGCTATCAAGATTCTGGATGTGAAAGTTGGTTGCACATACTTTTGTCTATTTAACAGGCAGCCTTCTGGGGACTCCGAGCAGCGGCAAAAGCGCTTCGGCCAGCGCAGTGCAGTCTCCCCAGGAATTTCCGAGCTTCGCAGAATCCGATCTGCGGAATGACAGCTACGCTCATTCCCAGCAGCCGTCGTTCACGAGGGCTCCGTCTAAAGGAGAGTCTGCCGGTCAGGAAGGGGGTTTAAACGCTTTCAGCTCTCTAATGGCCCTCCCGTCTGTGTCCTCTGGGGCTGCGCAGGCTAAAAGCTACGAGAACTCTCAGGGAGACTTAAGTGGCCCAGCTGGCCTTGCCCCAGCGGGGTATAAACGCCCCCAGCCTTCCCTGGGAGCGGTGGAGGAGGACGACGCCGTGAAGGGGAAAAAGCGCCGGGGGAACTGGAGGAACAAGTACGGGCCGGGGAGGTCCCGCGGGAACAAGGCCCAGGAGGCCATCTGTCACCTGCCTGCGTCCTCGGCCTCGCCCGCCTCCTCCGTGGCCTCGGGAGCCGGCAGCGTCACTGGTACAGGCGCTGGCGGCGGCGGCAGCGCCAACACGACCAACGGGACCAGCACCCAGAAATCGCCCACTCTCCTCAGGAATGGAAGTTTACAAAACCTGAGCGTCAGCTCCTCCCCTGCCGGTCCAGGTAAGCGTGGCTGCTTCTCCCTCTTCCCTGCCTTTCCTTGACCTTCACTTTCACTTGTCTTCATATTCAGTGTCTCGCTTTGCCTCCCATCTGCAAAGTAGAGCAGAAGAAGCCGAGCAGTTCTGGATGTCTGGTCCTGTTGGGCTGTGCCAGGGTTTTAAACAAACCTCTGTGCGTTTAAAACACAAAGAATATGAATATACTATCAACAATATAATCATTTGATTTAGATGGGTACGATAGAAATTTAAAATACTCACCTGTTAGTCACTAAATAGGGTTGGAAGGGGGATACGATCTGTTCAGTAAGAATGTTTTCTGTTGGTGAAGGTTTTTTACGTACATTTACAAGTAGGTATTTTGTAGAACGAAGAGCTTTGTGTACTTTTATGCGTTTATATTTAAATGTTGAATTCTACTGTTTTTAAAGGGCGTAAATTTAAGTAAAATGCCCCGTGTTACGTGAGTGATGCTCCTGATTACAAATTTTCTTCTGGGTAGTTAGTGACCTTATAGACACTTTGACATAATGGCCATGGCCTCTGTGAACGGTACGGGGCCCACTTTGATCAAAGAACAAAATGGCGGTCAGGCAGCCATTTTGGTTTGTACTGGAGCCCTGTATAATTGCTTTGATTTGGAATGATACCGTGTCAGGAGATACCATGGCCAAACTTTGAAGAACAGCAGTTGGCATTGCGGAGGGCATTTTGACCAGCTGGTAATGACCTTTTGTGAGTATGTACAGTATTGCTGCAGACTATGACCTGTACGTCTGAAGGAGGTTTTGTTGAGATGAAAACCTACAAGTTTCAAGTCAGTTGGTAAGGCAGTTCCCAAAATTTCAAGTGATCACTTGAATTGTGTAAAAAACAAAATTGCAGTTGGGCACCCACTGGGTTTACGCAAGACCTCATTTCGCCATGTGTTAACTGACATTTCACCAGAATGATACTTGCCGCACGTGTCAATAGACCAAACAATCCTTGAACGGAAGCGGTTTGCTTCAAATGTTGCGTTTTGCTAAGCAGGCGATGACCAAGTGTACTGTAGGAGGGGAAATTATCACAGCAGTTTATTGGGTGCAAGTTAGATGATTTCATGAACAACTAAATTTGCTTCTAAGTCTGGATTCAATCAGTGCCGTGGTTCCCAAGAGAGAGCAGTTTGAGTTGTGAGAACAAAATGGCGGTGTGGTAGCCATCTTATTTTACACAGGGAAGCATGCCAATTACAGGGCCTGTGTTCATAACAAAGTAAAAGAATTAAGTGGTAAAACTGCCAGCTTAGTTTATGCTGGAATCCTATTTTCAGATGTCTTTCTGTTTGGTACAAGAATTCCGCTTAGAAAGTTTAGAGTTAATTGATCAAACCTGTTGATAAACATGAGCAGTTTGTGTCAAAGACAATATTTCTTGTAACTTCGAAGATGGGATGCTCAAATATGCGTTCCATAAAAGCTGTTTTCCTAAATGCTAATGTGCATATGTTGATGAACATGCAGTTAAATGTTTCATATGCAGTTGTAGAAAAGAAAAGCAAAATATTGAATTGCAGTTCAGCTGAAAAAAATGAATGAACTTGGAGACTAGGAATTACCACATACTTTTCTTCACACTTCACATTTGATACATGTTCTGTCCAGCCTAAACAAAATAATAATGGTTGTTTTAATTAACAAGTGAACGTTAGTAACCTGAGTGCGAACCAATCACAATGTTTTTAAATATAATCAACAAATGTGATCTGTTGCAAACCCTTTGAGGAATGTGTCTGGATAGTGTTTAACTCGCTTCCTTCAATTCTTCAATTTTGCTCCTGCAGGAGATGCTTACAGTACTGAGGAGGAAAATAAGTACAGTGGGAGGTGTAATTGTTACCTTGGTGTTAGGCTTGCTACTTAGCTAGTTTTCTCCTGACCTTCCATCGACTTGTATTGAAGTACTGTAAACCTTGCAAGCTGACTTGATTTGCATTTCAGTGCAGAGGGAGTGTAATTTGAGCTGTCTATCAATAGACCCAGACAGATTGCCTTTAAACCTGAGGATTTTTTATCAGACGCAAACGAAAGGAGAAAATCAAAACCCACTAGTAAACATGAGCCTTCTTTCTTGTCCAGCTGAGTGCCTATGGAAAGTAACTACAGCCTTTTCAAGATTAGTCACACAATCCTGTAGTGTGCACATTTTGCTATGCAAATTCAAATGTACTCATCAAACATTTATTTTGTTCGCTCTGTTATAGTATGCAGCCCCCCCCGAAATAACAAAGTTAATCAAGCAGCTCAAATGAGGTCAATTTGTTGGGTTGTACTTGACGTCACATACAATTGTGTTTTTACCGTCTTAGAAAATTGCAAGATCAAACTGTGGGATGTGTTCTAAACTCTCCAGCCAAACCTGATTTGCGGATTGCGCTGGATACAAAGCCGTTAAAGGTACAGTACATGCAAATGGAAGTTTTGAGGAAAACGCTGAAGGTTTTCAGAGCCACTGCCGTCCAGCCAGTGAAGCAGGAATCAGGCGAGCGGGAGGTGGGTTAAGGAATAATCAGAATCTGAAGGGAGGAAGGAACAGTGTGATGAAGATAGTAACAAGTGAGAATTAGGGTCTTGAACTGCATCCAAGCAGATAGTCAGCCAGCGGAGGGTGCGAAGTGGTACTGTGGACCTAGCAAGGCTGAGAGAGAGGCTTGTTGGACCTGCTGTGACAGCACGCATAAGGAAGTGTGACTCTTAAAATTAAACAAACGACTGTTCTTTTATCATGTCAAATAACGTTTAAAAACGACATGACTTTAGCCAAGCCAACTGAGGATTATTTAAAATCTTATTTAAAATTATTTGAAATCTTCGAGGATTTTTGAACAAAGTGCCGAATTCTGTTAAAATGGGTGTCTGACACTATGATTGACCTGTGTGTTTGCCAAGTGAAGGAGCAGACAGGATCAGGAGTTGAAAAGATGGGAACAGGGATCAGGAAAGGAGAGGAGCCTCCTGAAGGTAAAGGAGATCCAAGTTGTTGATGATGTTTGCCTTGAGATGCTTTTAGATAACAGAGGCATTAATATTCATATTCACATGCTGGAGTGTAAATTTAAAGTTGAGCAAACGATTCATACATCATCTGCATTCATATTCGGGTTGAATTTCGTAAGCGCTCCAAAAGGGTGTTTATGTTGGGAAAAGTTGGAGGGGCTCAAGGACAGAACCTTGAAGTACTCCTTTACCACGACTCTCAAAGGTGCCCCTGCTTTGGTTACAAACTTATTGTAATAAGTTATATTAAGTAATGAGTTATAATAGCCAAGGTTAATGAATGATGGCTCTTGGGATTTTTGTATCGTGCAATCAGAGTGGTTCATTTCATGGATATGACTGCAGCAGAAGGTCTAATAGGTGCTTGCTAGTGTACCTGAGGAGCATGCAGTTTTCCATATTTTTTTCCAATGAGCCTTTTCTGCTTTCCCCCACTTCATAGCGAAGTGCTTTAATGGTATATATTACTAGTTTTCATAGTCGTGCCTTTCAATAGGTAATTTAATCTGCGAAGTAAGTTACTATATGAAAAGACATCCAAAGTTTAAGAAAAGGATATTAGTTGACCCTTTCTCCTCCTTCACTGGCAAAAATACATGCAGGCTGTAGGGTTTATACTCAAGTGGGCGATGAGAAAACCCCTGACCCCTGCTGGCCTTACAGGTGTATTACGTCCTTTTCTTTGGGGGTGAGGCGGGTCCCCTCCCATGAATTGAATTATCATATATATGTAACTCCAGCAAGCTCAGGCTAATCAGCATTCCTGGGACTTAACATGATGCAGTGTCTAAGACGTTAAAGCTCTCTGTGACATTCTCCATTTTCTGCTGTGTGGTTTTTTTAATTCTGCCCAGCACAGCTGGATTTTCTTTAGTCTGTGGCGCTGTCAGCTTGTTTTGGAATTTTTGATCTCTTCAAAGCTGACATAACTGCTTATTTGTTTTCGGTTTTATTATTGTTGTCTATGGTAAGACCCGACAAATCACTATTAAATAACCCAGCTGCACTCTGTAGTTGAATGTGAATCCAGAAGTGTACAACCTTGGTGGTGGCTGGTGAGTACTAAACCTGCCTTGAGAGTTCAGCACTTGTTAACACAGGAGAGGGTTTGGTTCATTCACTTATCTACAACCTGTTGCTAGGCAACCCCATCAGCATACAGTACTGTGGCGTTCCTCTGTGAAACATACATTCAGCTGTGCATGCCTGACTTCTTTTGTAGGCAGTTGTAGAGAAACCACGGTGAATTGCGACAAAGTCGGTGGTCTCTTTTGTTTTATCTGCTGCCGGGGCTGATTCTAATGTTGAATTTGTATTTTTTTTTTCAAATGTATTTTGTTTGAGCAGTCTTGAACTTGTTGATGCCCCTCGCCGACTGTAAATATTTAGCTTCGGTTAATGCTCTGTAATAATGGACTGTACAGACCATTTATCTTGACATCTCAGAATGTGCCTGTCGCTTTTTGATGAATTACGATTTTATCAGCATCTCAGAGAGGCAATTATTAAAAGCAAACATCTATCTCATAGATATGGTGTAAGAGCTCTAGGGTGCAATGGTTTTAAAAATTTGTTTTGGGTCATAAAGCAATATTTGTTTTATTCAGGGAATGTGTGTTGAGAGCACTGGCTGGTCTTAACCTCAGACCCTCCTAGCAGGTATGGCTGCATTGCCAATACTGATTCTCTGCTAGGAAAGCAGAGAGAGCTGTGCTTTAAGTAAACAGAATTAAGGCTGTCTTTTTAGAATATTTATCACCTACTCTGCCCTGCTTAGCAGTTTTACTACATGGTAATAACTTAAAATATGTTTACAAAGCCATTTTTTCCCCACTAATACGTTTTGACTTGGGCAAAAGAGAATTTCACATCTCCTCTGCCACTTTCAGCTTCTGATCCGGAAAGCCCACTTCATTTGTCAAAGCAGCGTCGCTGCCCAGAGGAAACAGAACTTTAAACTAAG